AATCATAACTATTTTCGACAAGGACGTCACACACTTTCCGAGTTATAGTTTTTCAAAATAAAAAACTATATTTTTTTCCATTAGGTGCCCCGTGCCCCAAGCAATTGGAGTTATAGTGTTGTTCATTATTTTCGACAAGGACGTCACACACTTTCCGACTTATAAGATTTTTTGAACAACTACAACTTTTTCCATTAGGTGTCCCATGGTTTTGGAGTTATAGTTTTGTTCAAAAAGCATCATAACTATTTTCGACAAGGACGTCACACACTTTCCGAGTTATAAGATTGTTTGACACCCCTTTATACTTTTTTCCATTAGGTGTCCCACGGTTGTGGAGTTTTAGTTTTTTTTTCCAAAAAACATAGCAATTTCTGCTCGTGGAGTTGGGACGAAAACGTTCTAACTGCTGGCGTCGGTTTCGCAAGGCTGGTGACGCACAGTCGTCATATCCTTTTGGAAGAGGCTCTGTTATTTTTAGCAACCCTATCCCCAAACTTATGTTTTTTTCTGTATATTTATCCCAGATATAAAGCGTGATTTATGAAATTCAACACCCAAACTCCTTGAAATTTAGACATGATTATGGAAGAAGTGGAAATGTCTGCTTAGGATGACCATTTTCCTCTACAAACTGGTTGTGTTTCACTTCCATGTTTTGAGGAAGTGTAGATTTGCTGATCTACTCTGTAAATCAGTGATATGAATGGCCTTGTCAGTAGGCCCCCCATGGAAAACCAGAAGCTCGCACATGTGTTCATCCACCAACTTGAGCTTTTGACTCGCCAAGCTCAGCAGCTACATGTGAGCAGGCACCCATATCCTTGTGATCCCTTGTATGTTATTGTTTCCATCTTTGACAGTATTCATCTCAAAGTTCCTCCTGTTTTTGTTTCAACTGTGCTAATTTCTCAGAACCACAGATGGTTCTTCCTGTTTCTCCCACGAAAATCCCGGCTCCAGACACCTCCGCTTCTGGCCACCGCCACTGGCTGAGAAGAACGGGAAGTACGCCGAGCTCAGGTCTTAGACACGCCGCTCTATGGGACGCTGCGCGAGTTGGTGGCCTTGGAGCCGGAGCTTCGCTTCTGCCAGCAGGCCGGCCGACACACGGCATGGCTCGGCGCCGAAACCGGGGCGGATCTTGGAAGACTTCGGGGTGAACACAGGTGTTCTGCGGGGCGGACATCACTTTTGGAGATCATGGGAGGTTGAAAGTACGCCAGGCTCGCAGAAGGGGTGACATCGACTCCCCGTGGACGTGATGAAATAGATGGTCAGCACCCTGCCAGGTGCTTTGAATGACAGAAGAGTCTCCCACCACATCACCACATGCAGATCAGAAGGTCTCTCATCACGTTGCAGGTGGTGATGCCTCAAGCCGATTTGCATCACTACTTCGAGATGGTCCGAAGCTCCGACTTCTACCCCGGGGTTCGCTCGCAACGTGCCCCGGATCGATGCAACGTGGGCTGGGCCTGGGTCCAGGTGGTTGATCCTAGTATGGGCTAGTCCATGTGCGCTCTTTTGACCTCAGAGGCCCACAAGCCAGGTATGATAGATATAATTGATATAATGTAATATATATATATATATATTCGTACGTTATATATTATATGTATAACATGCAAATCTACGTTGTTTCATGTGCCATGTTGCATATTTCGCTTTTTTTTTGGGGGGGTTGGTGCCACTTTACAATACGGTATATGTTGTGTAGGTTGCCCAAGTTCGTGATAATTAGTTGCCCATGGTGTCATAGTTGGAATGGCCATGTTGCCGCAAACCCGAAGCCATTTGCTTACCCCATGTAGAAGCCAACCGTCGAGTACAAATGCCAAGAAACACGCCCAACAAAACAGAAGAACCTGTCAAAATGCATGTTTGGATCTCAACACTCCATCATGACTTTCCTGCGCGTTTCGTTAGTTTTGAGGCTTAGATCACTGGCTTTGTGCTAATGCTGCTGTGGGCTTCCAGTGTGTGAGCGCCTTCTTTGCGCCGCGGCACACGTTCGGAGATCGTGGCGCGAAGACGGCCCCAAGTGCAGGGAAGTTCAACGTAGACAAAGAAGACGAGACTGTACGTATAGGGTTTGTTCCGTTACCAGCAACAGTCAGTGAACGACTATCACTATAGTTTGATTGTGTTTGAACAAGCCTTACTGGTAATGGGATAGACCCAAGATGAGACCATTCAAAACAAATTGAAAGATACATGAAGGCTGCGAAGCTTGTCAGGCTTGTGATTGATCGTGATGATGTTCATTGTTGCTCTTTCCCTTGAAGCATTCCACATTATCATTTTTATCCAACTTTAAGACGGACTTTCAAGTCAAGTATAGTCAAGTTAAGCGATTCTTGAGTTTGCTTTTATTGAGGAGGACATGACATGCCTGGAGCCACGCTTCAATGATTTCTCTACCAAAGAGAAGCCGATAAAATGTAATTTCTTGGTGAGCAAATTTGACAAACCTTAGCAAAGAATCTTTTTGTGCTAGTGGCCTCCCCCTATCAGAGGTTCCACGTTGGAGGAGAAAGTAGGCCCTGTCAGGGCTGAACTATGGTTAAGCTGAAGTTAAGACTATGTATACACAAGACAACACATCTCTTTTACTGTCAGTCAGTCCTCAACCTATATAATCCTGTCCTCCACCACCTCAACCTTTTGTAAATTTGTTCCCAACCGCGTGCGGTTCCCATCCCAGATCCCTGTTCAATGCATTGGGTGCTGATGGGCCAGACGGTCGTTGGGCAGGAATACCCCGACAGTCGTGCGTTTGGCGGCCTCACTCTCGCCATTCAACGGTGAGATTCTACAGACTAGAAATCCACCAGCACCACTTCAGATAGAGCAGTAAGAACATTGAAGTAGATCGCAGGCCGCAGGAAGACCCAGGGTATGTGAATAGTACATTATACCCCATGACTACTTGCTGGTGTTTTTCGGCATTTGCTGTCTTTCAAGATCCAACCTCACTCCACGCAGTCCAACCTCATCCGCTTCGGATCTCTGGCGCGTCCTGTCCGTCCCGAGGACTACGAATGCCGCCTCATCGGTGCCCGGTCGGCGCGACTCTGCCCGGCGGCCGACGTGATGCGCTACTTCCGCTTCGGCTTTCCCGCCCGGCCGCGCTCGGTGTTTGTTCCTTGGGACCGGAGGGTCGGGGGAAAGGTGGGTGGGAACTTGGAGGTTGGACAGTGAGGATGATATACAGAGCGTGCTTGTAAGGGAGATAAGGGAGACTTTGTGGCTGGCAGTAATACGATATAGGTATACTCCTGAAGAGTGCATGTTTGGCTTCTATTTATTCAGAGACCTCAGGTTGGCCTTGTCTTTCAGAGACGACAGGTTGGCCCTTATATCTCCAAGTGGCTGGTGAAAATGGTCAGGAGTTGAGCTAGGAGCTTTGTATGGGGTTGTAGTAGGGGAGTTTGCTGTCCAGATGCTTAGGGCATCTACCCTGGGCCATGTCCAGGTCTTTTTAGGCCTACTTTGCTCCCCTTGCGAAGATATTTTCGTTGCCCTGAGATTCCTAGAGGATAATGGGCTATGAACCTGAACCTTCTATAAAAGAGAACTCCTTAGTGTCAGAATCTACGCTGCACTCCGGAGAAGACAAACAAACAATCGACCTCAGCCAATTCAAAAGTCATGGGTTGCATGGAGTTGCATGTGGCTAAACCAGCTTTAGTGCATACCCAGAATTTTATATGATATTATCGTGAAGGTCTTGGAACTGCGGACAACATGTTGCAAAGCCGCTAGCTAGCAGCTGGCAAAGTTGTGGATTTTTGTGCCTTTACGGCTCGACTCAATGGAAGTGAGGCCATCACAGTGGGCTTGGAAGAACCTGCTCCAGCTACTGAAGATGTGGATGCCTTCGTATGTCGTGAAGCTCGGTTGAATGGGTACCGGGCTGAGCTCAAAGAAGTTTGGAAGTATCGCATGGCCACCTTCCTGTATGTTATACATGCAGAGGCCTAGTGCTGGACCCTAAGAGGTGGTGTCCTTTAGCTGGACCTGGCAGGTTGATGCCTACACCTGGCCTTTCATGCAAAGGCCCACAATCTACAGGCAGCCCCCATATTGTGCCACCAAAAAATTAAGAGCTAAGACCAGGACCCTCCAACAGGCTGTTTGGTGTTCAGGCCCCCGGTGGTTTTTAGGCACCGATAGCTCAGAAACACCGATAGTATCCGATAGTAGTCTCCAAGAATTCTGTGCACTGTTGAGCTGCTGGGCTACCAGCGCCCACACGTGGTGCGGGAGCATCCATCTTCCAGCCGCACCCAGGGTCTAGGTGCGAACTTTCAAGGCACCGCCAAATGGGCAGTGCGCAGTGCGTCGGCGAACAGCCGACAGAGAGAAATGGCCGTTTTTCGAAGCTGGGTCAAGTTGAAGTTGTTTCCCAGGTATGCAGCATCGATGTTCGCATTCTTGCTGACCTTGGGTGTGTTCAAATTTTGGGGTGGATGTTTGGTTGCGCAAACAGAAAAGCAGGCCATGTTTTCTTATTGTGTATGGCTGGCATACTCTCCTCTTTTCAGGGTCACTCAGATACATCTCAGATACCTGCAGAATCGTCTTTGATCACGGCATCTCATGGGATTGGCATCATCGGTGATTAGAACTGATCGCTCGAGGTCTCGGGCCGTCTCAGGTCTCGGTGGTGAAACCGCCGCACGGAGGGCCGGTGGGTTCCAAGCGCTCGCCAGGACCTACTGGAGCGCCGGAGGCCCCAGGAATGAAACACGGGATTCGGTGCAAGTGGAAGGGGTCGATTGGCCCGAGCCAGTATATATCCCAGACACTCCATGTATGCATGCCGATCAGTTGGGGTCGTTTTGGGGGTCAATGTAGGCATATATGGCATACATGGAGTGTTTGGGTATTTATCGGCAAATTACATCCAGAATCATCCAGATGAATCTGCATGCACTCCTTGGAAGAATCATGGTAGAAAAGGATCCTCCAAAGGGTCATACCATCCACTTCCATGTGCAGTTGATGCCAGATTGCCCAAGGAGTGTCAGAGGCGACAGATGAAACCGGACCTGTACTGGACTTCGGCTCCACTTCGGCCTTTTGAATCGAAAGCCCTTGAAAGCATCGTCATACATGGACCTTGGCCCCAAGCCCTTGGCGTTCAACCTGAAGGGATCACATGGATGTGATGTGAACATCACATGCGATCCTCTCCACGGTGATCCAACCTGGTCACCGGTCACCGACCTGCTCGGTCCTACCGGATCGTCCCCCGGAGGGACGATCGGGTTCTATTTCAGCCAGCCTGGCTGAGGAGAAGATTTTTGATCTCCAACGCCAACCGCAGATCAGAGTGTATGTCTATAGATTTAGATATGCAGCCCTTTTTAAAGGCATCACCTCATAATCAGAGTTGATCCAATTTCAGGTGGCCTGTCAGCCCAACGACTTCCCGCTTCGACCTCCGAACCGAAGGGCGCGTGTCGGCCCAAACAAGCGATCCACGACCGCCCTCCGTCCTTTCGGGTGTGGCGCGGCCGAGCGCAGCAGGCTCCAACTTCACCGAGCTCAACGGCGCTGATGGAACCGGCGATGCCGGGATGTGAGGGGGGAGGAGGCATGGAACGAGGTGGTTTCGCGGTGTTTGGGAATCCATTTTTGATTGATCAACCGATATTTTTAGATGTGAGGGGGGGGTGTTGATGCATCAAGAGTCTAAGATTATCCAACCAGGAGCAACCCTGGCTGGACTCACTATACTCGGGATCTCCAGACAGGACACCCAGACCTGTCGTGCAGCAGCTTACATGGGGTATCATGAGGTGAAGGGCGGGCCTTTTCGAAAACAATATGAAACAAGTTTCTGCACTGACCAGTCATGGCCTGGTTCTAAGATGTTTCGATTTCAGTGTTTGCCGAGTTTGGGGATCATCCTCACAAAATATCCACCCTTTGGAAAAAAATACACTGACTGAGACGTGCAAAGAGACATAAAGACACCCCAGGATTCCTGGCCCGCCATTGGATTCAAATGGATGTTCTGTGAGATGCGCAGTTTGCAAGTCCGCAAGTGAGAGATGTAAAATTACAACGATCAAGTGAACTTGTTGTATATATATATATATATTATTTTTGAATGCTATTATATGGGGACAAGCGTGGTTTTGTCCATGATCCCCCAGACAGTCCCTGTCTCCGGAAGATAGACCTACAATGAACCCTGACTCACTAACATGAAAGTGGAACAAGGAAGAAAAGGACCCCTGGAAAGACCACCCATTCCTTTACAAAGAACGGGGGGTGCCATCCACTTGAAAAATATATAATTCCATGCGATTTTGGCCTCCATCCGAAACGTGGCCCTCCTCGCCCTCAGGTCACCTCTCCCGAGAATCTCGCGCACGCGGCTGCCGCAGTGGGGCGCACCGCCGACCTGGCTTGGGGTCCCCAGCGGCGGCCGTCGCCGTCGCCATGAGTTGAGGAGAACGATGAAGAAAGGAGCCCCTGCGGCGGTGAAGAAGGGAGTGGTGCAGACAGGTGGAGGTTGGTGGGGTGTCCCATTCAATCAAGCCAAGCTTCTCTTATAGAAGTCTTATAGATTCTGGGAGAGTCGGCGAAAAGGACGGTCAGGTATTGAGTGAGACGGAATGTAACGATCCGGACTTTAACTTTCGGGTTCCAAGGGTGAATGTCTTGTGCTTTCCATCGGACATGGTCTCACCCTGCTTTTAGCGCGCAAACTTTGCAGAGCACATTGGACAAACAAACTCTTTATGGTCGCATGCTGGATGGTCACCATGAGCTCTTGCCAAAGGAAGCTGTTTCCCAAACAGTCTAGTCTATTGTAATGATCGCATTTGTCCGCCACTTCATGTGTTTTTGTGTGAAATGGATCGTCATTTGTTGCCCCGCGCAGAGCAAAACTGGATCCTTTGGATTTAGGTTTGATTCATTCACCCGTTTTTGAAGCACCCGTTTTGCCCCACCAGGGTGATGTTTCGCGGGACTCCGCCCAGCTCTTCCTGGCTGTTCCGCTGCCGAATATATCTCCAGTGGCCAGCTTATCCCCAGCTTGGCAATCTGCGGAAGTCCTTTGGCATCGCTCAAGTTCGTAGCTGCAGCTTCTTGAAAAAAAAACAGAAAACACTCCCTAAACATCCAGTCGTACCTTCTCAGCAGGTGATTGGACCCTCCTGGCACCTACATAGCGGTGTCGAACACATCACCGTACCTGACTGGATCCCTAGGGACTTAAAAAACTTTTGTTCAGAACGTTTGCTTCCAGAACCGGGTCCAAAGCCTTGACATGTCCGGAGGGTCCTAGGCTCCTTGGCGGAGGATTTCGATTTCGCTGGTGCGGCACGTTCGCATCGCGCGTCGCACCTCCCAAGAATGGGAGCGGTGGTTTGAGCATGTTTTAGCAATGCCCCAAACCGTTCGGAAAACCAAACCAATTTGGAATTCGTGCCCACCACCCTCTGAGTGGAACAATCACCCTCCCCACCCGAATGATCACGAATGATCACTTGGTGAAAACCTTCCAATTCTCCAAAAGCCCTGCACGGTCCAAGAAGTTGTGACTGAATGTAGTTTTTGCTGCGTTTCTCCTCACATGTTGTTTCATGTCGATCAGTCACAGCAGGCCTGCTGTAAATATATGGTGCAAGCAAATGTATTACACAAGAAAACTCTAGCCCTACCAGGATCGTGGTCTCCGCATAAAGATCCTCAAGGGCGGATTCATCAAATGTTCCGCCAAGTTGCTTCTGTCACATCCGATGCCACTGAAACCACTGCCCACGACACCGCCCAGGTGGTGGCTGATGGTGGCATGGGTGTGGATCGAGGCCCGGACCGGAAACGAAGCATTTGCCAGGCGATCAGCTCTTCGTTTCGCTTGCGAAGATGGGTGTGGAGTCTATTGAGGTGAAGGAAGGTCTTAGGGAGGAGAAGGTTTAGCAGCTTAGCATGAAGCATCGTGAGCATGCAGCCATAAGAGATCATCGGAGGCAAGGGCCTAAAGGGCCTCAGAAGCTGGATGCGGGCCCCCCGTGGCCCGAAAACCACCTTGAAGGTGCCGGCGGCCAACACATGGAGAACTATCAGGACCGGAAGTCGGCGCGAAGGTCAGGCTGATGGTCCTTACTGCGGTTTTTCACTTGGCACTACCAAATTTAAGGAAAGATTGTTTCTTGCAACATGGCTCAAACAGGAGTTATATAAAGGTTGATTTTGGAGCCGTTCGCAGTCAGATGTTGCATGTTTTGTGCTTCACAATTCTTGCACACATCTTCCACAAGATTCATGCTCATGTCGTTTGAAATCTCTGAACAACTTTGCGCCCAGTTTTGCAGCGAGGAGATTTGGGGCGGTAGCATCCTCACGGCAGAGGCTCAGCCGGATGACTTTGACAAACCACGCAGAAACATGCCACAAGTTTCCTCCGACCGCATTTTTGACGTGGCCAATCTGTATGGGTGAGACACTAGCGGACGAAGCATCATGACCGAAACGTCACGGATCCTGACCATTGATTCCATCTAAGTTCCAAACTTGCGCTTGTTTCAGACTGCTGAATAGTTTTGCATTTCGACTGATTCAGATGCAAGTGGAAAACCACCTGATTGTAGAGGAAAATGGCCATCCAGGGGACCATTTTCCACTTCCATGATTATTTCGGTGACTCTTAACCCCAAAAGAAACACATGTGTGAGGAGTTGTTTGTGGCCGGACCGGCATGCCAAGGTTTTGAGGCACCCTAATTAGGGCCCAATCACCAGCCCGAAAGGTGCACCTGACATGTGAGCCAGAGAGGTCTCATGGTGGGTGACATGGGTCTCCTTGTAGGCTCAGTGGCAGGTGGTGACCTGGCGTTGAGGGTGCTGTGTTTGGAACCAGAGCTCCCTGAACCAAAGCGAGATGACGGGGGTGTGGAGGAGACCGGACTGAAAGCGGTTTTGAGGGGCACTCCAACAACCTGTTGGTATACGGCACTCTGAACATTTGTTTGGATTTGCTACCTCACCATTGTATTCAGAAATGTGTTACGACTCTTGTACACTTCGTGGAATTTGCATGGAAGTGGAACATGGAGGGAACATGGTGGAACATGGCCCCTTGGATGAGCATTTACCTCTACAAACCGACGGTTTTCCACTTCCACGATTAGTTGAGGGAGTGTAACCCGCTTTTTGAGACAAAACTTTAATTCTTGAAAACTGGTTGGGTAGGTGGGTTTCTGCACACCTGGTAGTGTTTCCTGGGAGTCCTCTGCACACCTGGTAGCGTTTCCTGGGAGCCCTCTGCACACCTAATAGCGTTTCCTGGGAGCCCTCCCCTCCGAAGCACTGAGTGTGTAGACCTGAACCCTTCGCCTTGGCGCTCGCCAGCTTGCTCGGACCGCTTCTTGGCTGGAAATCCTCAGATTTTCAAACGGATCCTCCGGTAGAACTCCTAAGACTGTCATTCCCTTTCTGACCGCTTCGCCATGCGCTCCGCGACACGTGCCTTGGGCGAGCGTTTCGGTTTCGCCGGTCGAAGGGATGATGTTGAAGGAACGACGAACTGCGAGTGCCAACTTTTGGGGTGCTGGCCATAGCTGGCCCACTGCATTTTAAACCTTGCTGGTGGTAGGGCTGCAACACACATCTGTGTGGGAGGGATATGTGTTGACATGCTTGGAAGCCAACTTAGGTCGTTTGTTTTCGGGGTAAGTGTGGCCTGAAATTCAGATCAACCGTTTGCCATTTTGAGGCACCCCCTGTAGACAAATGGAAAAGACGACTGGGCCAAGTGACGACATGTGCGGTATACAGGTCAGCAAGCTGTAGCCCATGCTCATGCTTTCGGTGTGCCTGGATGGCATACCGAAAGAGATGCCGGAAAACCGTTGCAAAAAAAATGAACACGAACAAGTTCCCGGCTGGTGAGGGGCCCTCGGGGTTCCCATTCACCACAGATGGGTCCGAGAGCCTAACTTGGGGACTCACGGGCCGAGGAGCCTGGCTCAGCATGTGTGCTCGCGCAAAGCGCGCGGAAACCATGGAAAGTAGGCAGAGGGTTGCTACTGTGGTGGTTTTCAGCTTAGGAATCGGCCCAGGCAGACAACAAGACAATTTGTTAGTTGCGTAATAGATGTAGAGGATTGTGATAGCACACGACATAAACCTGGCTTTCACATGATTTCACATCAATTGAATGAAACAAGTCCGTCACGGTGCTGCAGTCACGCTTTTCAGTGATCCGACTTTGGACATTCTTCTTGTCTTTCCAGATCATACAGCATGTCAAGGGAATGACCTCGCAGCACCAAGGATGCCTTTTGCTTGCCGGCATGACCTTGGCTGTGGCCACTTGTTTAGATTGACATCGTTGGGGTGGCCTTGCCATACCCAGAGTCCCCATGTTACCACTGTTTTACAAACATGGGTAATTACACAAAAATGAAACTCTTCAATCAGCACCCGCCATGAAGAGTAAACAGTAAACGTGTTTTATTCATCTTCCGCAGAAGCTGGCTTCGACCTGCAAAAGCTGTGATTGCTCAGACGGGATGGCTTTTGAATTGGGAACCACAACAAAGAGTAGCCCTGGCAGGAGGACTAAACTTCATGTGATTCTGTGATGCTGTGCCACCTTCGTTCCAGATGTGTACCATGCACTTCCAATCCCTGAGCCAGTATTCTGGCCGCGGGATCACAAGCATGTTTTACTGGCAGGGTGCTAGAGACATAGTTTTGGGATTTGTTTGGACATGTTACGTCACCTAGTCACCTAGAAGCAGATGTTATGGCGAGCCCATCTTGGATAGCCATTTGCAAACTACCCGCCGCAATTCGGCCGCGATGTCGTTTGAAACGGTTCAGCGCATATGATGCCTGGCTCATGACTTAAATGGTTTTGTTGTTGGATTTGGTTAACCTAGATGTTTAAACCTGTTAAGGCATTGAAAGGCCTGAAGCGAACATCCACTGGCAATCAGATCCCGGTTCGAAGCAGCAGTTAGTACCTGCGCGAGTTCGTATGTACTTTGTTGGGCTGAGGCCCGCGTAAAAATTGCAAGAATGACCTTGACGATCAAACTTGACGGGAATTGGAGTAGTTTTCAACTAGCAAACAGCGCACCTCCGCTAAGCGTCACTGATAGCGCTATTGCCCCTTCCGCAAGGATACTATGAAAAGGCATCTTGGTATTTTTGTCTATAAACCTTTTGAGTGCCTGAATAACTATTCTCCAAAATAAGAACAACATTTCTCCATCATCTGTCCTGCGTATCAGACAACTTGTTGGAGCGCAAAGCTCCGCAAAAATTGAGAAAGTCACATCGTTGGGAACGTCCAAGGTTCCTAGCTGCTTCTTGCAGCTGCGAGCCCATCGTGGTCAAATCACCCGCCACGCACGCGGAGGAGAGGAGGTGGACATCAAGGCTTGGGGGGCACCGGAGACACTGGAGCCAGCATGCGCCCGGAGCCAGGGAGGCGGAGGTTCTTGTCCAGTCCTTTGCCTTTTTCGCTTTGATAGGAATGCTTTTTTGGGGGGTGTTAGCCCCGGTGGAACAAGCTTCCAAGATTTTCTGGCTGGACCGGCGGATTAACCCAGTTCCAGCGCCAACTCGAAAAAATGTGAACCCAGTTCCCTTTGATTGTTGAGGGAGTGTGTGGAAAACCCACGCATCTCTCAGGTCACGTCCCAACGTCCGACCTGCCTTCAGTCTCTCGCCAGGTGAAGGGCGAGACAGCGCAGCTTACCGAGGAACCGAAGTCCAGCCACTCGGGCCCTGGCAGTCGTCCCGTCCGGACTCGGCCGGTAGGGCGTTTTCAGCCGGCATGTGTCCAGAATTGGTTGAAGGGCAACATCTACCAGGACCATCCAAGAGGTGTCTATAAATAGCCTCTTAGTGGTTAAGGGGGTGTCCAAAACCACCTGTTGGAAGGTCCTGGTACGGGAAACCATGTTTTGAACCAAGTCTGGGACTATGCGTGCATGTGTGTGGGGACGGTGCGGAAACGATGTTGAGGATAGGGCCCGATCCACCCCATGCAGGCCCATTGCCCCTGTGAAAAGTAAACCTAGCAAGCACTCGCGTGAATATCCTGTGTTGAGGTGCCATACAACGGAGGCTGCTGATGTTGAAGCTAAAACCGTAGCTAGAGCATCAAAAGTTACTGTAGATGCTCCTGTTTTGATGAAATGTGCTTGATGTTTGATATTGACCTCGGATTGATGAATAAGGTGAGATAAATGTTGCGCACTGCTTGTTGTTATCAATGGTAAGTCAGGCCCAGGCCATCCACGACCTCTACAGAGACTCTACAGAGCGGCATCTTCAGGGACCAAGTCATGATCTCATCCCCAGCTCGGACATTTGGTTACTCTGAAAGTCTAACTATGAAAAACCTCGTTTATGCCTCTAGATCCAACATGGTCCAACTACCTCTTAAAGAAGAGTATGGCAGAAGATTTCCACTGGCCTTCCCGTGGGCGGTATGTTTGTATATCTTTGTCTTGTCCAAACGCTCGATGTAATATGGAATATATATATTATATATATATATATGAATATATATAATAGTTATACATAGTAATTATAGTCTAAGTATGGTTTTCGGACACCCAACCTCAGACTCAGTATACGAGGCTATTTACAGAGGTGTCGGTCCTGGCATATCTTATAACATTACATGGATCCCGAGCCTCACCCTCCCGAGCCGAGCCTTGGGACATCTCCTCATGGGTGCGGTCCGCGCCACCGGAGGCGGTGTGGACCTCTTGGGTTTGGTCCTGGGTGGCGTCGTAGGCGCGGGTCGTCCCTACGCGAGAGACGTGGTGGAACCGGCCATGTGCTTTGCATGCCCGGGGTTTGTGCCGTCTCTGTCAGAGTCGAAGGGAATGTGCTGTCAGGGTCGAAGCCGATCTGGAAAACAGTTTTTTAAGAGACACATTTCGAGGGTGGCCATTCTCCTTGGATGAGCCTGAGTTGTTTGGCTCCAGTTCTTCATCCTTCTTTCCTTTTCAGCTGCCCTAAGGATCCTTGGACCCTCGGAAGAGGTCGAACCCTCTATATATAATAAGGGTTTGTACCTCAAAACCCTTGTTTTTGAGGGTGCGGATCCTTAGGGTGTGGGATTTTCCTCCACATTCAGGGTCTTCGGATCCGACTCGGCTGTCTCCTAGCGAACACTTGTGTCAGGCCTTGCGGTGGCCGCTGGCAAGGCCGTGGAGAGCTTCCTCAACAAGAAGGCCGTGAGGAGTTGCTTTTCACACCGCCAAGTCGGTGCCCCGTGGTTTTCCACCACCTATATGACCGGTTCTTTGTTTTTGATTCACGCATTGTTCAGATGCTGGTCCAGTAGCGCAAGGTGATTTCATTCAGAGCACCCTATCACCAAAC